TTATATTTAAAGAGCGATTTTCTATTATTTTTAAAGTTACTTGGGAATCTTTTAATTTTAAATTACTAAAGCATTAGCCATAACATTTCAACAATGGTTTCGTGGTGTAGTTGGTTATCACGGAATAAACTATTCCATTTTCTGTCACCTTTCTAAAGTTATTTACAATAGTTAAGATATTGTTTACTTTCCATTGTTTAATTGAGCTTATGTTGCTTTGGTTAAGTGAATTCTACCCTGAATGAGCTCCTTCTTATTCTTAATTTGAAAGGGGAAAAACTCTTTGACCCCTATTATTTTGAGCCCTAATTTGAATAGGCCACACCCAATTTTAACCTTAGGCAGCAAAAAAAAAAATAAAATAAAAATAAAATAAAAATATTTTTAGCTCAAATGAGTAAGCCCAATTACCTACCATGTAAGGAGTCTCATCCGCATCACGTAACGAGTCACATGATATTTAGTCATCTTAAATTTGGATCTAGTCAAAAAATAGGCTTTGTTGTCACCGTGTACTACTTTATATACGTTATCATCTCCGGAGTAAATAATATACGAAGTTAGTACTTATGATCAACAAAATATACCAGTCTAGTAATTATTTTCATTTTTATTTTAAGCTTGGCTTAGTATAGGCGTAATTTTTTAAAGTTCGGTTGCAGGAGATCTCGAGTTGAATTCAAGCACAAGTACTTCCTCTTCCTCTTCTTCTTTTTAATAATATCTCATTTTGCTACAATTAAGTACGCTAGAAATTCGGATCATCTGAGCCATCCAACGTCCTCGCATGCCAAGCAAATATAAACTAATTTGACATGTAGATTACATAGAGCTAGATACTGGTACGTAGATACGAATATATCTGCTCTTCGATACTCCCTACTAGCGTCGGCCCCGTACAAGCGCGTAGGAATTTTATTGCTAACAAGTTACTTGAATGGAAAACACTAAAAGCAAACCTTATGCCACACCTTAGGGCACACCTCCCTCTCTCAGCTACAGTGCAGGAGGCCCACTTGATATTTTTAAATAAATCTTAAATGGCCCCATGCACTGTAGCTGAAAGAGAGGTGTACCCCAAGGTGTGCATCTAGTGCCACCCTACTTGAATATTATCGTGGCGTACCAAAATGCAAATAATAAGATAATTATTCAGGTACAGCAGAAAGATTTTCCCTGATTAAAATGAGCAGTGACATGACGAGAACGGTAGGAGACCAGGAGCATGTAGGCAGGCAGCAAGAAATCTGAAGAATATTCAGTGTGGTCTCATGTTGATCACCAAAGTATCAGATTCCGCTTTGAAGTCCACCGTACTATATCTGGGCTATTATTACATAACAAGATTAAATGGGCAAAATCTATAAATAAAACTATGAAGTTACTTATCATTCAATTTGAAGGGTCGAAAAACACTTCATGT